TGCTGTCGAATAAGCTTATTATATTGGTTACACACCGATGGTCCGATCCCGCTCTTCCACCACCGCAAACTAGAACCTGAATAACCCCTTCTTCTTCTTCTTGTCTTCCTTGACACTCGGTGTTATTGAATGTGTTGAGCCTTGATACGAGTTTGTCGGCGATATTTTACTCGGCTTGAGGGTATCCTGCGCACCCAGCCGTGAGTTCCCAACCGGAACGGGTGCCGCTTGTCTAGTAGGGCGAGGCGCATCCTGGGTAAAGTAGCGCTCATCGTAGTATTCTTGGAAGGAACGTGGGACGCCAGAACCAGCTTCCTTCAGACCATTCGGCAGCGCCCTGGATCCCACTCCGCCTAGATCGAGTACCTTAAGATCATCAACGAAGTGTTTGGGCGTCAGCGTGTGTGTTGAGCCTAAATAACCGATAGCCGATAAATAAACGTCTCGCACAGAGGGAAATGTCTCACCAATATAAATGTCCTTGTTTAAGGACGTGGAGAGTTGATAAGCTTCTCGCATCTCAGAATATGTCATACCCCCGGCGACAAAGACGATGATTCGCTGTCGAATGGCCTCATTGGCTGTAGTGCCTGGTCTGGGAGCTTTATGCCAGGCGGGTTTCTGGCTGCGTAATGATGTTGCAGCTGATGGGGCGGCACGCTGCGCTACCGGTGGAGCGGCAGAAGGAGTATCCTTGACATATGGGAATAATGAGGTATCAAGCTTGCTGGTAACATGCTCCTGCGCGATCATAGGTGTCAGTGACGTAAGAAATGACAAACAATGAGATCGTACCTCAAGGACAGCCCGAAGGAGAGGCTTATACCGCGAGAGTTCGTATTCCTCCTCCTTGCTTGATTTCTGTTTTATTTTCCTCTTGATGTCTTTGTCCCCTGGCCCCTATGAGGTGACAGGGTGAGTAAATCGCGAGGTTAAAACGACATTAAACACTGACTCGACTTATGCGGACACCCATCAAGAGTAACGCATTGACGGCATCTTGCTCCGCAAGGCTCAAGCGAGCATGTTGATATAACCGTCGACGATCTTCATCTGGCACACCTTCGCGGAACTGGATATATAACGCGACAATTCGCACTTTATTCAAGTTTCTGATGGTATCCGGCTCATTCGTTAGAATAACGAGAGTGCAGACGATTACGTGACTCACATAATCTCTCGACTATCCAATAAGGGAACCATCTCCTCAACCAGGGACTTGGGTGTCTTGCCCTCTGCAGTTAAACCGGTTGAACAATTCTGTATATGATATCAGTTTGTGAAGTGTAGGCTAGTAAAGACGACACTTGCCTGCTCAACGTTGGCAACGAGTGGGAGTTTATCGCGTTCGAAGATCGCCATACATTCTTGAGCCATATTCAGATGAAGCGAGAACTGAGAATGGTTGCAAGGTTAAAATGGAAGCGTCCAACAGCGTTGAATGTTGATCACCTTTTCCCGTTGTTCTTGGTATTGCGGGAGACTTGCGAGCATATCCTTCATGTCATTTAGACTTGCTGCACCTTCCCTACAACAGACACATTGGAGAATATATCGGTAGAGGTCATGTTAAGTGCAGTGCACCCACTTACCCTTTAAACCCTGCATTGTCCTCCAAGAATTTATTGAAGTCAGCCATTAACTTGTCGATGGCTTCTCGCATGTGCATATGCCTGACTTCAGTCCACACGTTATCAGCATCCGACAAAATCGCCGTCTTGTCCTCGTATGCGCCTAATGATGACTGGAATTTATAACTGTAAACCATTTAGCCAGTAAACACTGAAGATTACGCTATACTAACGTGTATTTGGCTCCATCTTCGATAGGCAGCAAATCATTCGCCATAGCCTGATATGTAAACTCGTGGATGAATGGGGCCAACATATCCATTGATCTATCGGTTATGAAGAGTGTCCCCCGTGGGCGTGAAGGATCCGCTTTCTACAAAGGGCGCAGTGAGCAAGGCAGTTGACTAGCGTAAGTCAAGGTGAACTTGCAGCAAAATCGGGATTGGCCTTCTTGTGCTCTTCGAGATTTCGTTGCACTAGAAATGCCAAAACTTTCGATAGATATTCGGTTTCGGTTGCTTCGTACGATCTTGCCTCTGCTCCTCGAGCTAGATTCGTACGCCAGCGACCGCTCCCCTCAGGTGGTGGTGGCGGGCTTATTGTAGCATTTGGCTTCAGTGGGCCGAGCGGTGGATGATGGGAGGGGAAGTAGTATCGAATGAACGGAAATTCGTTGAGAGTGACGCATAGATTGAGAATAGCTTTACTGGTAAACAGAAGCTCTTCTTCTAATCTGGCTTTCGCGACTGCAAATGCTGCGTCGTTCCGGGGCGGACTAAACATGTTGAAGAACAGTGCAGGCGATTGGAGTGAGAACACCTGAGCCTCGAGCGCTGTCATGGACTGAATGAATACTACCGGGTCAACGATGCGAGATACGTACCCCATACATTAATGAACAGCTCCTTCAATGCCTGTAAGTGAGGTTCCGCCGGTGATCCCGTCAGTCGCTGGAACAGCTGTTCCTCCAACCCATCGACAAAGAACAGATGCGCTGCTGCATATTGCTTGCGTCCGTCCGAGAAATCGCGAATGATACGATTGACATTATGTGATGTCGGCATCAACAGATACATGGCTTCGAAGTCGGGCTGCGGGTCTCGGTAGTTCGTTATGGATTCAATGACTGTATGCCCAGGGGATCATCATTGGTTTCTCAAGGCGGTTCAATGCAATGATCCAACACACATACGCGTGACATTCTCTTGCAATATGTCAAATTGCTTCAGCACCGAGCCAAGCAGCTTCTGAGAGTGCTCATCGACAACGAGTATTTTCCATCGCCCGGGTGGATTAACTGATCGTATAGCCTCGAGGAACTCTGGTGATTCATGTATCAGTAAAGGTGCACCCACGGGGTGCGCATGCGCATACTATTCTTGACTATGGTATTCAAGGAAGACATCGCTTCCTAAAGGTGGTGTGATGAAGGAGAAGGAGAAGATGGTGCAATGCCAACTTGAGCCACGGCTCCAGTTGTCGCGCCGTTGCTGTGAAGCACGATATCACGATTATATAAGCAATCTAATCTACTTCCAGCGTCCGGAGGCTTTCCTCAAAAGTGTTCTACTAGCAAGGACATGACTGATTTGGTATTATTGCAGAGGAGGAAAGATGATGTCGACATTACAGCAAGGAATAGGAACTAATAGAGAAAGATCGAATGTACTACTTCATAGAGTATTCCATTTTCGCTAATATAAAGGTGAGCGATGTTAATAAGGGACTTGATATCAGGGTGCTTACTTTCGTGCTTCTTCGCGTCGCTGACTTTCCTTGCCGCCTTTGTAAGATCTTCCTGTGTCACGTATTCCCTAGCCCGCAGAGTCAGCATAAAAGTACCTCCACTGGTTAATATTTACCTATCATCACGGATAGCGAACATTCCGGCTTCGGTGATCACATTTCGCAGATCAGCACCGTTGAAACCATCGGACAGCTTGGGGATTGCATAAGAGAGTTGCAGAAGCTCGAGAATGTCGGACAAATAACATACCTTGACGATAGCTTCGTAGTCAATGTCGCCGCTTTTGTTCACAGGTTTGGCATGGATCTTCAGAATCTCCAATCGTGCCTGTTCGTTTGGTAGAGGAACCTCAATTTTCCGGTCCAATCGTCCGGGGCGAAGCAATGCGGGGTCAAGCGTATCCGGTCGATTCGTGGCCATGATAAGCTTTGTTTGTCCGAGTGAGTCGAAGCCATCCATTTGGTTTAGAAGCTACCCAAAATCTAAGCTTGCGAAGATAGTTGCGGCGCAAGTGACATACCTCCATGAGCGTTCTCTGAATCTCGCGATCAGCACTGGTGCCCTCCGAGAATCGTCGCCCACCGATGGCGTCAATTTCGTCCATGAAAATAACGCATGGCTCGTGATCTCTTGCATATCCAAACATCTCCCTCACAACACGGGCACTCTCGCCAATATACTTGTCGACGATTGCTGAGGAGACGACCTTGAGGAAATTCGTCTGTAGTGTAGCAGCGACAGCACGAGCGAGGAGTGTCTTCCCCGTTCCTGGCGGCCCATATAGAAGGACACCCTTTGGTGGTTTGATCCCAACGCGTTGGAAAAGTTCTGGATTGAGCAGAGGCAGTTCTATGATCTGAACCATAGATGTAAGATCGCACCACCACGCAGGGCAAGAATATACGTACTTCACGCAACTCCCGCACTTGTTCCCCGAGTCCACCGATACCGGCAAACGAAGCTCCTCCAGGATCCTCCAAGCTCATCTTGTATACCAACGGGTCAACCTCCCGAGGCAATATCCGCATGACCGTTAGTGTTGTCATATCTAGCGACACTCGTGTCCCAGCCTTGAGCTTTGCCACAGGGAGAGTCGGTCTGTACGACACAACATAGCGCGGTCCCGACGACGCTTTCACAATAACTGTTGATAGTTGAGTGAGAAGATTTCCTCCCAGTAGATATCGATTAGAACATACATCGCTCGTCGTCCAGTTGCTTCATGACTTCGCCAATGATCTGGCCCACCGACTGAACAGCCTTTATATCATCCTCTGTCTTGCTATACGCCCTCTCCAAGTCTTTAAGGGAGAACCTAACTATCGCCAAGATGAATAAGCCCTCTTTCAGTCTCATGGATCTTCAGCACGACTCACGGTTCTTCAAAGTCTCACTATTGGTTTCGTGATCTTTCATTTTCTATTGCGCAAGGAAGTCAGACCACTCTGGACAAAGATAAGTAAGTGCAGCATACCGCGCGGTACGCTTTCAGAGCATCTTTCCGCCGTTGGTCCATTTCGCCTGAGGATGTTGAGGGTTGGTTGTCCATGTCCGAGAATCAAGTTCGTTACTGGAACGCGTCACCTTCAATGCGCGTGCGTGACAGACCAAAGTGGAAAGCGTGACTTGCCTAAAAGAACAAGAGCATTTTGTACCAGCGCCTAGTGAAGCTTTGGCACCGCGGCCTGATGGTCTAGTAGTATGATTCCTTGTTAGGGTTTCACCATTATCGAGGAGGTCCCGGGTTCAATTCCCGGTCAGGCCCCGCCCATTGGCCTGATGGTCTAGTAGTATGATTCCTTGTTAGGGCTTGTCCGTTTCGAGGAGGTCCCGGGTTCAATTCCCGGTCAGGCCCTCAGCACATTGGTTTTTGTTGGCAAATACGCTGCAAGATTTTTGCTCCAAGTTGCTCGCGATGTTTCTGCATTGCAGTGTTGTAGTTTTACGAAGATGGTCGCCGCCAGGAGTCAGGGGGATCGCGTCAGGGGAATATTGAGTTACTATTAGAGCGAACTCGTCAATCCTATGCCTTTATCACTACTTGGGAGGTATCTACCACTTTCTTCATTACGGTGTCAACCATTTCCTTCATCTCTACCTTTGTACTTTCGAACAATATCAAGTCTTCGGCTTGACCGCTCAAGTTTCCAGCTACAACGTTGCCACCCTCGAATAGAGGTTTGTGTGCACGCAGGTACGCAGGCCAGACGATCTTCTCCCAGTAATGAGGAGGGTCTTTCCAAATATCACCCTCTGTGTCCTTCATGAGCACCACGACGTACCCAGACTATGAATGAAGATATAGCACTAACCGGGTGTGTTGTATGCTCGAGCCTCGCGCCTTTTCTTAGCGACATCTTCTGGGACGCGAAGGAAGACTCGGACATCGAGGTTGGATACGATACGCTGCGAGCAGAACCATGCATCAGACTTGCGCGATCATTGGTGCGAATTAACTCTACCTTATCCCAGTACAACAGAAAGCCATCGATTATAGCCCACACAAGCTTCTCGCCATGTTTTTCTAGATGCTCCGAAGCAAGCTTTTCGCTACGCGTCTTCCAGGCAGCGATGATATCGTCATCCACAGACACATTCGCAGTGGTGTTTAACGAATCAAAGGACTCGTGGTCCTCGGGCAGAACTCCCGTCCTTTTTAGATCGGATAGGAAGTTAGACATGCGAACCCAATCTATAGCACCCGGGGCATCGTCCCAGTCGGCGAAGCCGTATTCTGGGTCGACGGGGAGTTTCTCTGCAGGCTACGTGACCCCAAGATCGAACGTCGTTGAGCCCACAAGTGATAGTAAGCGTATGGCCACGCACTGGTACGAAGTCCTAATATCGTGTTGAGTAAATTCAAACCAATTAGTTAAGGATGCTGTGCATATACATCTTGATGAATTATGACGCTGTTGTGTAAGCAGTTTCTGAGATGCTTCGCCAAAATCGTCTTTCCAGACGACGTCGCTCCTCTACGGTCGAAGTCAGTGACAAGCAGGGATGAGCTCACGCCATGGATGTTAACAAAGTAGAGCAACGAACCCTACACCAATTGCGACGACCCTTGTGGGGATCGAGTTTGCGCTCATTCTTAGTAGTAACGGTGACGGGGAGAAGCGTGGGAGTAGGCCCAATGACCACAGGTGCAGTGTAGATATCCTTCCATCAATTGTCATGTCATCCGCTTGCGGGAGCGTAAAAATTACAGGTCTAACAATACAAATAATGCGAACAAACCCTTGTACATATCGTCAGATGATCAACACCTGCACCACCAGTAGCCCTGATTTACAAAACGAATAAAAGCCCAAGAGAGGCCAGTCCTACCCAAACGCTCAAGCTCGGTGGTATCCTCGACGTTGGCGCTGCATTGTTACTTGCCGTAGCTTTCAAAGCCGGCGGCGACGTCTGCGCAGCCATGAAACTGTCCCATGCGGCGATGGTAGCTGAAGGAAAGACGAAGGTTGAGCTAGTTGTTACTTTGCCCACGTAAATTTCCTTTTGCCCGGGTAGGACACCCGCTGTTAGAGCTGGGTCTTCCCCGCCTACCACAGACGATGACTCCACAAGGCCAGTCTGGTTGTTCCCGAAAATGAATTCCCGAGCGAAAGTGAACGCCTTGACGATGACAACAAAGATATTTAGGATGATTCAAGGACCGTGCAATACCTAACGACGTACCGCTTGGGGTTTCTTTACGGGAACCATATGCCCAGCACCATCGAACAAAACATACGTCCATCCACGTTCCTGGCGAATGATGCCTGCGAAATTTCCGCTATCGTCATGCCATGGCGTAGAAGGTTTGCGTGTGAAGCCCTGTATGCCTCCAAAGGTCGTATTTTGTATGGTGACTATGAAGGAAAGATTAACGGCGTTGAAAGCGAGGAAGAGATGGTGAGTACTTTCTGTGCCTAGATGAGAAACCAAGGCATCGTCATTGCCCGAGAACAGGATGACCGAAACATTTTTCGCCGTCGCATTTGTAGCGAGGTCGGTAAGGAAAACCATGGGTCTAGCGATATAGATCAATGTCGACGTTCGCAGAGCGTCACGAATACAACTACTTACTCGGGGCTGGGATCAAAGGCTAAAACAACGTCGTTAGCATACCAGTCTATAGGAAATAAACTAGGATTACGCACTGAGTTCTCCGAAGGGGAATGGGAAAGTCAATACCCAATCAAAACTCGTTGGAGCATGGAGGGCAGCGCGTGTACGTTTGTCTATATTGAATTAGGTCAAGATCGTTGCAGACGACATCGATAGTATCCATACCGTTGAGGAATACTGACGCGTCTCTTCGCGCAGCAGGGGACAAAGCGTCAGGGACGTCGTAAATCTACAGAAATATTGTTAAACGCAAATTTGAAATGCACGATGAGAAGTACTTACACCAAAGCCGATGTCATTGGGGTCGTCATTCTCGCCTGTACACACCGAGGGACGTCAGTACACAGGTGTTCTTTCTTTATAACCAGTACTCACTCCAGGGGAACGTGAAGTTCTTTGCATAATCCATGAATTCGTCGAACAAGAAGCAACCGTACTTAATAATTCTGGTCAGCACTTGTTGCACCTTGATATAGGCAAGGGATCATACCCAGGGATCGATCGTGCCATTGGCCCGTCCAGTAAGATCCCTCTTCCACGCCATCCTTTTCATCTCCCGATCTCGCTTCTGGATGCTTGTTCCTGCATTAACGCCGTCTTCCTTGTAGCGCCTCTGAATCTCATCCTTCAAAGCTCGCTTGGAGGAGATGATGGAACGTCTTGACGGAACATCGCGTTTCGCTTGCATCACTTGGTTGGAGTGGAACCTCGTGCTTTGCAAGAATGGAATGGTGCGTTGAATTGGCTGAACGACAGGAATAGGGGGGAAAGTGCCATTCTGGGGGTATGTGAGGTTGAGATCGTAGCCGCAGAGATGTGATCTAGAATAGAAGTTAATAATCCGCTACATCTCAAAGGGAAATATCGTACTGTTCTTTGAAATACTCGAATACTTCTGTGTCGTATCCGATGATTTGAGGGTATGTCTCGATGACAGTCAACTGACGAGCGTTTAGATCAAGGCATGGACTTGAGCGGGAGGAGACTCACCGCGGGCAATAGCTCAAAGACTTGTTCAGTCGCGATTGAGCCGTCGCCAATAGCAATGGCAGCGATGGTGACGGGAGGGTTGGCCAAGCTGAAGTATTCTTTGAGGATATATGGCTGTATTATATTAGGCGGGATCGCTCTAGAAGAAGGTACAGAGGGCCTCACAATATATGTGCCAGCATAGCTTTCGCCCGTGAGGTGTAGAGGTCTCGTCGCAAGACCTGGAAACACTTTGACGAGGTTGGATAAGAAGCCGAACTGCAGCCTGGTTAGTAAAAGTTCACATAAGAGTCCATATTCAAGACTGACGAAGTCTTTTGCCATTGTCTCTTCGTTGTCGACTATGCACGTTTTGGTCAATGTATCACTTGAAGAGTGCTAGAGTGAACCTACTGTATCCATTCGTATCGGCAGTTGAGAAGCCAACCCCACTATAATACTAGAAGTGAGCGAGTGAGATCTGTGCTTGATTGATAGTACGAACACTGGCTGATCTATCCAGATGTAATCAGCAACTTTACTCCAGCTGAAGTTGTTTTGGGAGATGGTATAGTCGGAGTTGATGCGTATTGGTCCATTCTACGTACATGGCTAGTCAGTTCCGGTAGAATCAACGGCACGCGAAGAACTCACTTCGAAAAGAGCGCCATACATACTGGAGGACCCAGGTCTATAGGCACATCGCAATTTAGCATGTTAATATCTCTCGTGCTGCTCCTTTTCTTACCCGCCATTAAGCCAAATACCCCAAGGATCGGTGCTCGCGTTGGCAGCAGCGGTCAACGAACCGTTTTGCTTCTCGAACGCCCAGAAGAAGAATGTGTCATTTGGATGACCAGCGCGTTGTACAGGGAGATTCCCCGCAAACATACGCCCAACATCAAAAGTAACGTTGGGCAGCGGATCTGTTACTTCGTAATCTGTGGCCGCGTTAAAGAATTGGTATGTAAATATCACTTCGAGGCGAACGTACAGCTTTGGTATGCCGGGCTGAAGTCGCCCTTCGGCTTTCCGGGATAAATATGAGGAAATGTGCTTGGTGGGGCATCATCGCCGGATTGACATCTGGCTAGTAGAAAATATGCGAATATCGAAGCTGCCGTGTAAAGTCGCATGATGATCGTTCAACGTAGACCGAGGGGTATCGAGGAAAGGGTATATCGCGGTCGTCAGAGGTCGTTACTGGTCGTGGTCGAGGCGACAGCCTTTTATATCCTGGCGCACAATTGGAAAGGAGAGCGACTGCCGATGGTGTCCTTTCAAGTCCTGGACAATTGGCGACTGCGCCGAGAGTAGGCGCTGTGGTTGAGTCAAGCCGCCCTTGACACCTGCTTAATTGTCTTTCCGTGGGAAACTCCGAATACCGCAACAATAGCAGCACATGGCGCAAATTGGCCGCCGCCCGCTGGCAGTGATGCTGGGACAAAGTTTCTTGTGGCTTTGGAAATCTGGAGGTAAATTTATCTGTCAATTGTGGAGGTTGTTGGCGCAAGCAAAGAGCTCAGGCACACATTGCTGGCGACGTGCCTCAGGGACTCTGCCACGATTTCGGAATCAAAAATGTTCTGAACGTGGCCCGATTACCATCGTGTTCGCCTCAGCGATTATGTCTGGAATTCTGATGCGAGTGGGCGCGAGGCGACGCGAGGCTTCAAATTTCCAACGCCGTGATCTACCAGGACGTAAATTAGGAGGTCATGTGATCGCGTTGTGTACTGGACGGCCCTTGCAGCTGGCTTGAAGAGCTAC